CACTGCATGCATAGTGAGGATATTATCCGTGTCTAGGAGGTGCGTGCTGATGAGACATCCCTCCAGTGCTCGAGTCCGTTGTGTACCATTCAGCACCTGCTTGAGCGTGTTGGCCGCTACCTCGTCCTCGGTATCGCTGTCGTGAACCTCCGTGTCCACGGGAGCTGCTTGGGCTTTGTTGTGCGCTGCTGCTCCAGGTCGCTGAGCTTTCGGTGGGCCCTCCCCTCGTCGACGCTGCTGACGAGCCTTTCCGTAACCACCAGCGGGAAGGGTTTCTTGAGAGCTCGTTCGTCGTTTCTTCGCATCTCAGAGCTGCACCGTCGAGATCTCTCCCACCACCCACGCCGACATCGCCTGGCCCCTCGAAGGTAAAGTGGGCGGACGAATCGAGAGTTACGTCGCTGCGAATCTGAACCTGCAGAGCCTCTAAGCTTTCGAGCGACTCTGGCTCAACGATGGGGTACTTATCATGCCCTCTATCTGCATGGCACTTGTGATGAAGACAGACGACGACGAATGCGCTGCCGTGCATTAGGTAAATTCGAAGAGCACTCATGCACCAGGATCATTGGTTAGTGACCGTGAGAACGTTGCCAAGTGCGCGGTGTCCGTGCGTGACACCTTTCATGAACCCCATGTGTGCATACCACGAGTGCCTACCCTGGAACTCGAGTCCGCATCTGGATCTATCGCCATTTCGTTTTTTATAAACAAATATTGGGGCAGGTTCGCCTTCAGGGGGTCCAGCGGGTGCCTCAGGATCTCCTCCTCCTCCTCCTCCACCTTCAGCTGGTTGAGCTCCTTCCTCCTCTTGCACCTGTCCTCAAACCTTTCCCCTTGTTCCTGAAGGATCATACACATCTCCAAGTCTGTCTTCCCAATTCGCCCTCCGAAGTGTTTTGAAGTTCAGCTCGCCAAGCTCATCCCGAACCGCATCTTCAAAGACTCGAAGGGGGGCATCACCTAGTTTGCGAAGGAGAAAGGGCCCGCTTTCAACATGTGCCATCGCGAGGAGGTCATTCTGAGCCTAAGTGCCCACGGGTTCCCTCGATACACATTATTGCCATCTCGCACCAGCTTGAACTCCTGCACTGTGTCCTGGGTCTCACCAGGCAGCCTACCTAGCATTGCTGCGAGCACCTGAGCATTCTCATCTCTACGCGTAGCAAGGATCTGAAGCCACCGTAGTCGTTTGATTCGAAGTTCGAGTTGAGGAGGAACGAGCCCGAGAAGACGCCAGAGTTTCTTAGGAGTATGAGCACGATGCTTGATGAAACCACCTGGCCGAGACATTTTTATAACAGCCTTACCCCCAAGAAGCTCATTGTTCCTTGCCCCAACCCAAGGCGTTGGAATACAGGAGGCGATACTCACTGGTGATCAAGACGAAGGCTTCGAGACCACTGAGCGCCTTGGCTTGCACCCTACATTGGAACACAAGTCTCTTGAGCTGAGGCGATACACAGCGAGCAAACCAATTACCTCCCCATACTCCACCATTAGATATATGGATATATATATATATATGTATAGACGCGCAGCCCGCTGATGTGCACTTTGGCTTGACTGTGAAGCTTGAACTCCACGGTACGTAGCTGCCGACACCACCACACCATATATCTCGTTCATCTCTGCGAGTGTCCTGATATTTTTGGTAGCTACACGTCCATTACGTCTCGGGACAATCTGCTGCTTGTCATGGTTCTGAGTGTCTCCCACTGTCCACAACATCGCATCAAGCTGCTTGCTAGCTTAATCCAATCGAGCAGCCACCTCCCTCGGTGTGGCCTCCCACGACCTTATGTGCGACATCGGCCATGAATTCCGTTGTCGAGAGGTCCACAGGCTCGGCACGAAAGGGTGAACTGCATTGCAAATCGCCCCTCTGAGGAGACGCATTCCTGTCCGCAAGCCACGGCTCGAGAACATTGTACTGACACATTCGATTATATTTGTCGGGTGTTGATGGATGACCCTGCAAGGCCCCTTCTCCGATGAGAAACGTGCCAGTTCCATCTGCTGCATCACTGGTGGCATAGCTGGCATGCTTAGTCTGCGTCCCTTGCCACACGTCAGCTATGTCATAATGCTGGCAGCGGGCGTCGCCATGGATCGCTGCGAGATGCTGCCGAACGCACTAGCCTGGTCGTAAAACAATGTAGCATGTGACATCCCCATTTGTGCCAACCTCCAGCTAGTGATGAGTTGCACTCGTACAGCTGCTTCACGTCTTCGATACGAGATGCCTCCATGCGTGCCGTCAAGCAGCTTCTTCTCAGGATCTGCTGCAACTCCTCGTCTACGGATATGTATCATCATAGCCTTAATGAATGGACAAAGCCTGTGAATCAACCTTACGGCCTTGAACCCCGTCCGCGTACTAGGCTTTGGGATACAAGCTCCCCAGGACCGATGCCATTCAAGAGGAGCCTTTGACAGGCCACACATACTCCACAACATACCGCTGAGTCGCCTTTAGAACCGATTCATGTTTTTTTTGTTATCAAATTCCTGCTGCTTGTCTTTGTACTTCGGGTCCCTGGTGGTAGGGTTGAGGCACACCCGAAGTGTCTCCGCAGGTAACGGCCATGATGGGGCGCTCTTCCTGTAGGCCAATCGTCGTATCGTCGACCGCACTCCACATAGATCTCGGTCAGCCTCATCTTTGAAAGTGGGGTTCCAGAAACGCTGGCCATCATGTGGTTCATGTCATTCGGCAGCTCATCAAACTCATGAATGTGCCGCGCGCCCTGTCCGCCTTTCCATCCAGGTTGCTCCATATGCTGTGCCCACATGTCCACTGAAGGGCCGGAGAGCGTTGAGGTGTTGTAGAAGCGCCGTCCTGGTCCATCCGTGGTGGTCGCAAGTCGCCGTGCCAGTCGATGTACAAAACTTTGGCCATTCTCAAGCCACGCTTGTCGTAGCTGCTCACCTAGACTGTCAATCTGTGAGTCCTGAAACTGCATCTCGCCCTCTTGGAGCTCCTTCGTCGGGCGCCAAAGTTGCTGTAAAATCGTGAGTTCTGCCACCTCTGCATCAGTGCCAAGACAGCCAATGTGTTCACGTAGGAGAGCTCGCCGTCGAACAACTCCCATTTGCTGCTGTCGAGCCAAGTGATAATTCTGATCCGCTTCTCAATATGGTTGATAGCGTCCGAGTGCAATCTGTGTGATCTCCGAAATCAAGTGCTGCCAAGCTTCATCGGGTGCGGCTAGATCTTCACACTGTCTCCAACGAGAGTCCGAATTGCAACAATGCTCTTCCACGTCTCTGAGAAACCGATCCCGCCACAGCCCACCCACCACTCCCTGCACAAGCGCATCAACATTCCACTGTACGCGAACAGTACGGCCTCCTCGAGAGAAATCCAATATATAGCGTGTTCCACTTGTAGAGGATAACGCTTTGTTGAGGATAAAGGTCCCATTTTCTCTGGACTGGCGCCATCTGTAGTCGTCGGCCTCGCTTGTTCAAAATACTTGAGTCAACTAAAATGGTAAGCCACGCTTGAGGTACACCATGGTAGTCAATTATGGAACTGGATGCTCGTCCATAGTACGTATCATGTCCACCCACATAAGCCTTAACCAAACAAACATTATACTTTATCATGAAATTACGCAGCTATGTCATACAGTGATGCTCCTGTTGGGGGTCGCAGCGGTCCAACTGGATGTGCTCATTAGGGTAAATGTTTTGGGGAGGTATTCCAGTATAGTCATTGCTATCACCGCCAAGCACGATGGAATAACGAGTGGGTGGAAGTCTGCATATGTGGTCCACCCAAGCGAGCATCCGCGATATTGTCTTCTCATACGTAGTCATCTCCTTTGCCTCATGGGGTCTCACAGGAAAATATCCAACAATCAACAACTACTGAAAGCGGCCTGATCGTAGTTCAACTGCTCCCAGCCTGTCTTGTAGTCCTGCAGGCGGCGAATGGATTTGAGCAATCTGTCGAAGGCGACATAATCCTCGGCGTCAGCGTATCTGCACTCCCGTGTGGGACGAGTCGAGTGGCCTCTACCATATTCCCAGTTTAGTATATGCGCATTAAGATCTGATATACTCGTACACTGTCCGTCGGTATGCCGTTTTCGTAATCTAATACCAGTTAGAAAGACAATATCCTTCGTCTGATACGCTTCACTGATTTCCACTGCTCTGCCACTCTGAACAAGGGGCGTGACGTTGTGCACCATAAAGGGGAGAGGTGCATGCATGGCGGCCGCGAACGCTGTGACGGAGAGTGCCAATGTGGAAGGGAAAGGGAGCGCTGGGTAGGGGGGAACACGCATCCCTGTGGCCGCGCAGGGTGTGCGAAGGGACCTGTGCCAGGGCGGCTAGGAAGAGGAGGAGGAGGAGGAGGAGAAGGAGGACCGTAGCACACTCTTCACCCCAGCCCCGCGGGGCCCTACGCCGCCCTTCAGGGCCCGGAGGTCGCGTCGCTCCTCCCGGGGGAGCACCGATCGAAGCTCCGGAGGCCACGCCGTCGCCGCCGCCGCCGCCGCCGCCGCCGTCGTCGTCGTCGTCGTCGTCGTCGTCGTCGTCGTCGTCGTCGTCGTCGTCGTCGTCGTCGTCGTCCGTCGCCACCTCCGCCGCCACCGCCGCCGCCGCCGCCGTCGTCGTCGTGGTCGCCGTCGTCGTCGTCGTCGTCGTCGTCGTCGTCGTCGTCGTCGTCCGTCGTCCGTCGTCCGTCGTCCGTCGTCCGTCGTCGTCGTCGTCGTCGTCGTCGTCGTCGTCGTCGTCGTCGTCGTCGTCGTCGTCGTCGTCGTCGTCGTCTCCACCGTCGCTGCCGCCGCCGCCGCCGTCGTCGCCGTTCGTCGTCGTCGTCGTCGTCGTCAGCGTCGTCGTCGTCGTCGTCGTCAGCGTCGTCGCCGTCCGCGTCGACGCTGTCGCCGTCGTCGCAGTCGCCGCCCTCGCCGCCCGTGCCGCTGCCCTCGTCGCCAGCGCCGCCGCCCCCGCCTTCGCTGACGTTCAGCCCGCTCAGAGTCGGCCTCCTGGCCCCCCATATCCTCCCACGTGGCCCACCCATCCTGGCCAGCCTCGCGCGTTGCGTGCCGCCGTGGCTACGGGAACCTCCCTCGGCGCCTGGAAACCTAGGGGACGTCTGGACCTTCTCCCCGCGGCCGGTTTCTCATCCCGAGTTGTTTTCTGGCGGCCTTGGGGCCCGCCGAGGGCCCCCAGGAGCCGAAAATGGCCAGCAACCTCCCGTCGTGATCGTTTCTCGACGTCAGCATGTCTGGGGACGACGAGCGCCGACGACGGCGCCCTCGCCGCTGCCGGCCGAGGCCCTGGCGGCAGGAGCGCCGGCCTTTGCCGCGCGCGGCGGTCGCCGTGTCCAGCACGCTGGCCGCGGCACTGCTCGCCGGCGCCGTGACCTCGGCGGTGTCCGCCGCGCGCGGCGCGGCGGGGCCGAGACACGTGAGCCACGTCGGGCGCGCAGAGCGCAAGGAGCGCGCGCGCGCCCAGGGCCTGTCGCAGGGGGGAGGGCGTCGGGGAGGGGGCGTCCAAGAGGGAGATGAGGACTGGTGCGACCAAGCGGAGAATGTCGCAGCGCCGTGCTGGGAAGTGGACGATTATCCGTATAGTTTCCTGGGGGCGGGGGGCCTTCGGGGCCTCCTCCAGGCCTCCAGTTGCCTCGATTCTGGGCCCCGTCGAGACGGCCCCCAAAAGACGCGGCCTCAGAGAGCCCCCAGAACCCTCGGGACAGTCCAGGAGGCCCCCAGACAGCCCAAGACTGCTCCAAGTCGGCTCAAGATTCTCGCAGACGACCGAATGTGCTCCTAAACGTGCCCGAGAAATCTTCAAGAGGCCCCCGAAGGGGCGCCCAGGCCCAAGGAGCTAAAATCCTTGAAGTACATCCCGGGCCGCAAGATGGGCTCCCAGAGGCCCTCAGAGGCTCTCGAGATGCCCTCAAGAGACCCTACGAGGCTTGGGAGGCGCCCAAGAGGTCCCGAAGAGGCCCGCAAGACGCTCCCAACACGACCTCAACGGGGCCACCAAGAGGCCCCCACGAGCCGCAAGAGGCCCTCACAAGGCCCTCGCAAGGCCCGCATGACGATGATGCTGATGAGGATGATGCTGATGCGGATAACGATGGTGATGCTGATGATGCTGCTGATGCTGATGCTGAGGCTGCTGCTGATGTTGATGTTGCTGATGATGATGCTGATTACAATGGTGATGATGCGTATGATGATACCGATGATGATGATGATGATGATGATGATGATGATGATGATGATGATGATGATGATGATGATGATGATGATGCTGATGATGGTACTGATGATGAGGATGATGATGATGATGATGATGGTGCTGCTGATGATGATGGTGATGATGAGCACGGTGCTGATGCGGCTGCTGCTGATTTTGATGCTGATGATGCTGTTGGTGATGGTATAGTGGATGATGCTGTTTGTGATGATGTTGCTGTTGGTGATGATGCTGTTGGTTGATGATGCTGTAGTGGCGGATGTGGAAGGATGATGGTGACACAACGTTGTCGGTTGTGGTTGTGGTGGTGATGATGCTGACATGATGCTGGTGATTTTGATTATGATGATGCTGATGCTGATGCTGGCGATGATGATGATGATGACGATGTTGCTGATGATGGTCCTGATTACGATGACGATGCTGCTGATGCTGCTGACGCTGATGATGACGCTGATGATGCTGCTGCTGATGATGATGCTGATGATGCTGATGATGCTGATGCTGATGTTGGTGATGCGACTGACGATGCTGCTGCTGATGATGATGATGATGCAGGTGATGATGCTTCTGATGATGATGACGATCATGATGCTGATGATTCTGGTGATGATGATGCTGATGATGGTGATGATGGTGATGCTGATGATGATGACGATGATGACGATGGTGATGCCGATGATGCTGCTGATGCTGATGCTGAGGCTACTGCTGTTGTTGATGTTGAAGTTGAGGTTGAGGCTGATAATGATGCTGATGATGCTGATGCCGATGCCGATGCCGATGCTGATGCTGATGATGACGACGATGCTGACGAGGATAATGATGATGATGATGCTGATGATGATGATGATGATGATGATGATGATGACGATGATCATGATGCTACTGATGATGATTCTGATGGCGAAGATGAGGATGATGATGCTGATCAAGATGATGATGATGATGCTGATGATGATGATGATGCTGATAATGATGCTGCTGCTGCTGATGATGATGATGGTGGTGGTGATGATGATTGATGGTTGATGATTACCGATGATGATAATGATGATGTTGATGATGATGATGATGGCGATGGTGATGGTGATGGTGATGATGATGATGATGATGATGATGATGATGATGGTGAGGGTGAGGGTGCTGATGCTGCTGCTGATGATTGTGATGATGACGATGATGGTGAATGGTGAATGTGGAAGGAGGATGGTGACACAACGTTGACAGTTGTGGTGGTGGTGGTAATGGTGACGACGGTGACGAGGATGAGGATGATGATGATGATGATGATGATGATGATGATGATGATGATGATGATGATGATGATGATGATGATGATGATGATGATGATGATGATGATGATATGAATGAGGACGGTGAGGAGACGGAGGAATTGGATGAGGAAGTGCAGGAGTCAGGCGCAAGGGGGGCGAGGAGGAATGCGGATGTGACAGTGGAGGTGCAGGGGGAAGAGGCGGAGGAGCTTGAGAAGTATTTGAGGTTACTGCTTTTGGGATGTGAAAGGGGGAGGACGATGAGGAGGAGGAGGAGGAGGAGGAGGAGGAGGATGAGGAGGAGGAGGAGGTGTAGGAGGACCTTGCAGACGGAGGAGGACGCTTCAGGACGAAGGTGAAGAGGACGTTTTTGAACGTGGAAAAGAAAAGCGAGTTGTAAACGGATGAGGAGGAAGGGAACGATGCCGAGGACGAGGAGGATGACGAGGAGGAGGACGAGAAGGAATGGCGAGCAATGTGGGGAACGATCGCCACGGGGAGGACGAGCTCTACGCGTCCCCCGTGACGTCCTTCCAGCAGCAGCTCGTTCTTCCAGACGTGGCCCCGCCTTCCCTCTCTTCGTCGTCGTCCTCCCGTCCTCCCCCCTCTCACCCCCTCTCTCCCTCCCTCCTCCCCCCTTCCTTCATCAACGTCATGTTGGGGCAACGGTGGGCATCGGGAGGGAGTGCTTCGATGTCGTTGCCTCTGGGCTGAGGCGATCGGTTTTTACTCCTCTCCAGCGTGTTTGTATTCGGCTGCCCGAGTGCGATGGTACCTGGGCGAAGAACCGCGCCCACGCCCTGGATTTTGTACATCATTTCTAACCTGAGCTGCCCGCGATGCAATCTTGCTCCTGATTCGTTGCGGCACAGACTGTAGTATTGCCCATGCGTTGATGAAGTGCGCAATGAGGCTTGCCACGCTTCCTTCATACAAGCGGCCTTGCCTATCATCACTTGAGACACTGATGACGCGAAGCTTTTTTTTGTCCCCATCCAGGGGATCACCTGCAGGGTCCTAACGCGGAAGGGATTCTTACTCTTTCAGAAAACGACACCCGTGGAATCCTGATTGGCGCCTGGTCTGTTTCTGGTGATTCTTTGCGACGGATCCTCTTCCCCTCACATCATCAAGGAGCTGTTCCAGGGTGGCTGGGGCTCGTCCCGGTCAACGCACAAGGGGAGGCCATCGCGCCAGTGTTTGGGGCTGTCAGTGCTCCGTTTCCACAGACTTTGCATGCTACTGAGCATGGTGCCTATGCTGCGACTGCTAAATGCCCTGGTGGGCCCACGACGGGCTACGCGGACTGCGACGGAGTTGGCAGGACCACGGTGCTCCCATGTCTGTTCGGTGCGATCATCGCAAGAAGTTCTCTGGCTGTGCTGTTTTCTTGTTCGAGACACTGGCAAGGTGTTGGACAGGTTCAGGTTCACGTTCCACATTCGCCTGATTTAATTGACGTGCTGACGTTTCTCGAGGTCGGCATCGATGCAGCATATCGTGCCGCCCCACAAGCGGTATCCTTGCACCCCCAAGCTAACGAGTCAAGCTTTGTCGAAGTCGCTCGAGAAGTCAAGTACCACAAATCAGTGTGCCGCGTGGCTCCTGCTGTAGTACTGCTGTGGTCCAAGCATGTTTTAGCAGATGCACAGCGAGAGCCTCCGCCTCCCCACACTCCCCGAACTCCTTTCTTTTGACCACCAATGGGAGTGGTACCGCGGAGTATAGACATGCCAGTGCTGTTCTAGGTTTCGCCGCACTCAGATGGCCCCGTCGGACTTTGGATACGCTGGCGAGCCTCCGTCAGTTCCCATTCTTATGTCATTTCGAGGCCGCCGGTTGCTTTCATTACAATGTTTTGATTCGTCTCCGCTGTTTGTGGGTACCATGTGCAGGGCGTACACTTGCTTTGGAAGGTTCAGGTATACCCCATGCGTACTGGCAGGGACGACTAGGACAGATGCAAGCGCATTGCCAGAGGTTTTCCCTCCGCATTCGATGATGTTTGTGTTCAAGTTCCACCGCCTGAGGTCGTGGACCCAAGCGTTTCCTTTTCAGAAGACAGGATTTGCCAGTAGGCTGCGCCAAGTACTGCTCCCTCCGTCAGCGACACCCAGCCTCTTGTGCTTCCTGCGGTCTCACACAGGGGAGGTGATAGTTACGACTAACGCTAACGCCTCCTCTTCGTTTTCATCTCTCACGGCTGCCCCGACGTCTGCTTTGTGCTACTTGGTAGCCGCCTGTGCGCATTGCCTCTTGGCGAAATTGGCGCGGCGCGCCCTGTGACGGGCCATGCTTGTGGCGAGGAAGCCTTGCACGCGGTGCGTGCTTCCTCCCAGGTCCGTGGCTCGCCGGGTGCGGGCGGTGGCTCCTCCACCCAGCTCCTCGGTCTTTCTCTTGCACGTAGGGGTGATGCGCCTGCAGTTCGCATGTTGCTCCGCATCATTCAGGCAGGGTGGGATGCACCATTCTCCCTCCCTGCCTATCTCACGCGGCCATCGGCCGCACTCTTGCCGACTGGCTCTCTCCAGTCTCAGGCGGCGCCCTGAGTGCCAGCAGTGGGTGTCGTGCCCTGTGCAGCGGGCCTGGTCGATGCTATGCGTAGTCGTGTGGCAGGCCCTGAGCAGCCAGTCAGACTTCTTGTTACCTCATTCTTGCTGGTAGGCGACGTCCAATGGAAACAATCCTCCTCGACTCTCCTCACGCCATCTTGGCATGAGCACGCACGCTGGCAGGGTGGTGATCAAGATGCGCCTGCCGCCAGTGTGTAATCAGCCACTGTTTGATGCAGGTCTGGGCAACGGTTTCGCGCTTCGCCTGTTGACGCACCGCTTGGATGAGCTACCGGCCTTTGCTGCCGTTGCCTTTGGCCATCGTATCTTGGACGGTATGTGTTCAATGGCGATCGTACGGATGCCAAGGCCTTGCGGACCTGACCGCGACAGTGTCCATGATCATGGGTGTTAGGGTCCGCGTCGAGAAGGTGACGACGGGCATGAGGATAGTACTGATGGGCCCGCACGGCCTCACGGACGCTGTTCGCGACCTCACCGCCCTGCAGATCACTAGAGTGGCGGGCAGGGCCAATGGGCAGCTGGCGCAGGCGGCCCACCAACGAATGCTCCGAGACTTCGCGGGGGAGTTCTCCGGGCCATTGCCATTGGTGTTTCCATTTTTATTTGTATTCATTTCAATTCCTGATTTTTGTTGCTGGCAGTATGATGCTAGTCCACTCTGCTGCGCTTGAGGCGCGTGCTGAATTCAATTCTGAGCGCCCTACCAAACTCCTTGAGCATGGGCAATACAAATACCAACCAGGGCCTGAGGGTGATCTTCGAGGGCTGGACGAGGATGGTCGTGGGCAGCCCGCATGGTGATCCTCGTTGGGCCGTTGTCGATTTCGGAGTGCACGTGGGCGGGTTCCGAGGGCCTATCTGTGATGCTTGACGTCGCGATGGTGAGTGTCTGCGGTTTGCTTGTGACTTTCGAGGGCCAGATGCTGACTTCGGGGGCAAGAACATGACATTCGCCCACCTGCAGCTGATAGTTATTCGTGAAGAGAGAGGTGATCTGCGAGTGTATTGGTGTGAGCCTCGAAAGCCTGTCTGTAGTCTTCGAGAGCAAGTCTACGATCTCCGCGGGCACGGTGGGCATCTTAGTGATCCTCCTGGTGACCTCCGCGGGCATGGTGGGAGCCATCGACAGCAATGCTGCGATCTTTACGGACAGGGTGGACCGCAGATCTTCGAGGGTTTGCTGATGAACTTGCGAAGGCGTGATGATAACATACGAGGGTTGGCAGGTGGTCTCCGTGGGTACACTGGTGATGCTCGGGCGCTTGCTCCTGACCAGCGGGTGCGAGCTAGGTGTCGTCGAGGGCCTGGGCGCGATCTTCCAAGGCAGGACTGTGCAGTGCAACGTCGTGGTGCTGATCTTCGAGGGCACCCTGGTGATTTTTCGTAAGGGCGCACGGGTGTTCGTCGACGGCCTGCTGGCGGTTTTCCAGAGCTGGGTGGGGATCTTCGCGTGCAGGGAGGTGGCCATCGATGGCTGTAACTAAACGTTGTTTTTCGTTTAGTTTTCGTTTTGTTTTTCGTTTAGGTCCAGCCCTGGTGGCCATCGAAGGCCTGATGTTGTTCATCGAGGTTCGGCTGGGCGATCTTCGAGGGCACGGTGGTCACCTTTGTGAGCCTGGTGCCAATCTGGGAGGGTCTGCAGGCGCTCTGCGCGGGTGGGTTGGTGATCCACGTCGGCTGCATGGCGGTCTGCGGGGGCCGAGGAGGTGAATATCTCGACCCCCCGTTCGACATCCTCGCGATCCTAGCAGACGCGGATGGCTTTTGCAGGACATCCCGCCCCGACCGTTTTTTCAGATGAGTGCGTCTGCTGCGACTGTACTCTGACGTCGACACGCGTGCGGCTGCTGCTCTTACCTCCCCCATCCGTTTTTCTCGTGCAGTTCTGCTCGGTGAAGATGGGCAGAATGCAGGCCCCGTCGTGATTGACGCGGGATGGTGCTCGGCTCCTGGCTTCCCTGGTGGCTTTCCTGGTGGGCTTCCCTGCCGCTTCTGTGCCAGTGTGTGGTGGGCTTCCCCGGTGGCTCTGTCTTCTCCGTTCCAAGTTCCTCCCGCTCTACTTCGTCCCCCTGGCATTGTCGCAGAGCCCTCCAGCGGGGCCTCATGTGCCCGCCTCTTCCCCCTTCCTCCTGCGCCACTGGAGTATTCACATGTATTGTAAAACAAACTGCTCATCCCCTGTCATGCTTTCCCACCTCCCTCCTCGTCCTCCTCGTGCTCCTCTTCCTTCCTCTTCCTCCTCCTCCTCCTCCATCTTCCTCCGTTGTCTCGTCCTCCTCCTTCCCCTTCCCTCTTCCCTTTCTCCTTGTTATTTTCTTCTTCGTCTTCTTTTTCTCCTTCATTATTCTTGGTATGATGATTATTATTCTTATCATTCGCATTATCATTATTATTTTCATCATTAATATCATTAATATCATTATCCTGATCACGATCATCATTATTAGTATTCGCAGGTGGGTTTGTATTATTATTAGTAGTTTCGTATTATTAGTCATATTATTATTATTATTATTATTATTATTATTATTATTATTATTATTATTATTATTATTATTATTATTATTATTATTATTATTATTATTATTTATTATTATTAGTAATAATATTACCATTGCTATTCGTAATATTATTATTTGTCTTCTTCCTTCTATCTCTGCTACTGCTGCTGCTACTGCTCCTGCTCCTGCTCCTCCTGCTCCTCCTCCTCCTCCTCCTCCTCCTCCTCCTCTCCCATTGCTTCATTGCACGTGTGTGTGTTTGTATGTGTGTGTGTGTGTGTTGTGTGTGAGAGTGTGTGTGTGTGAGTGTGTGTGTGTGTGCGCTTTGCTAGGTTCTTGGGCTCAGACATAGCCAGAGCCAGGATAGAAGGGACGAGGAGGAGGAGGAGGAGGAGGAGGAGGAGGAGGAGGAGGAGGAGGAGGGGAATGATGTTGGTGTCCCTTGTGCT